ATAGCGGATAAATTTCCTGGAACAAACATATCCGTTATACCAAGACTCACTGTGTATTTTCGATGTTTATATTTTCAGTGTTAATATTTTTTATTTTAATAAATTAAAAAATCACGTGAAATTCGATAAGTCGGTCGCAGGGGTCCGCCCCGACATGACCGACTTATCAAGTTTACATATGTAGGTGTCATTTAATTTCATCATTCGTAATTGATTTCATAATTACATATTACGTTTTTGGCAAAATAATTACCATCCATGTATAAACAAGTGGCGATAACCACCACCACCACAAGCCTTTATGATAAACATTAATTTTTAATTTTTTTAAAAAAAAACAAACAAACAATATTAATATTATGGTGCCAATCATCAAATGCTGCGCCAACTGGTGAAAATTCTTGACCCTATTTGGTTCAATTATTGTTGATCATGCTGGTTAATGAGTCTATACCCTAAAAAAATAGATTTTTCATAAAAAAACCATTTTTTGTCAAAATGTCTACCACCGAAGAATTGCAAACATTTGTTTTGAACATTCTTGATACAAAAGGTCTGATTGAAAACTCAAAAAATCTTAAAGCTGAAGATGGAAAAGATATTGATCAATTAGTTTTATTGGGAGCTTTAAAAAGTTTAACCGATAAAGAAGTAATAAAAATTTTTTGGAAGAATTAGAATTAGATGAATTAGATGAATAAATTAGTAGATAAGTAAATGGATTTATCTACATATGTCTAATAGTTTTATTATATAGATGATAAGATATGATACCATCGAGGAAGAAATATGGATACTTACTGAAGAAGGCAATGAAATTGCTAATAATGGGAGTCATGAAGCAAGAGTTTTTGAAACTATCCCTGTTGGTGATGAAGGCATATCTATTAAAAAATTACGAGTTAGTATACAAACACATATACAATTAATTCACTCTCACCATTTGGCTTAGTATTATGAAAAAATGTCTGTTATAGACAGTAATAATGGCATATAAATTGGGCTTAAATTCTCAGTCTGTTATAAAGCAAGATCTG